TTTTTAGCTGCTCCTGGCCCGAACACCTGACCCACATAGGAGCCGTACTAGACCGGATTAGGGAGGCCGGACTGACCCTAAAGCCCAGTAAGTGCCATATAGGAACGCGTAAAAACCTCCCCAAGATAGTAGTATGGGCCCCAGAGTGTGAACAGGCCTTCCAACAGCTCAAGACGGCGCTCATTAAATCATCTGTACTTTCTGCTCCTGATCCAACTAAACGCTTTCTCGTCCATACAGACGCTTCTATGTTTGGATTGGGAGCAGTACTGAGCCAAGTTGGAGCAGATGGCGGCGAGCAACCCAGGGCTTATCTAAGCCGGAAACTTTTGCCCAGGGAAGTAGATACACTGCCATTGAAAAGGAGTGCCTGGCGGTGGTGTGGGCCCTCAAAAAAAATAATAGAGTTTACCTCAAACAAAACCAAAATCACTTTTAAAATCAAAGAATTCATTACATGTAACACCAAGAATGTTATCTACCTATTGGAATGCCCATGTGGCCTCCAATATGTTGGGATGACCACAAGATGTCTAAAAGTCCGATTAGGTGAGCATTGTAGGAATATAAAAAATGGCTATCTAAATCACTCTCTATCCAAGCACTTTTTAATTCACAACAAAGATCCTAAAATGTTAAAATATATGGGAATAAAAAAATGCTCCCTACCCTGGAGAGGAGGAGATATAAAAAACATCTTGGGTAAAACTGAGATGGAATGGGTTTATAAGTTACAAACCCTTACACCAAGTGGACTTAACGCAGACTTTGATTTGCATAATTTTTTATGATATTTTTACCTTTAATTTTTTACTGCATTTTTAACTTTTTATCTCATTCTTTTCCTGCTTCATCAGTTTAACCTAATGTAACCATCTTGTCATATTATTGTACTATGCCTTTAAGATTATGGTTTTATTTATATTAAGTTCTTCTATTGTCATTTGCCCTTATTATTAATTTTGCTTTATTTTATCCAATGCCTGACTTTTATCTCAACTTTTATACAAAAAGTGTGGGGCTCCTTAATAATATCTAAAAATATCTTTTCCCCTTTTAAATCTGTGTTGCATATGGGCAAAAGTGATTTAAACTATGTATTTTCCCACAGGAGAGCCCAGTGACCGGCAGGACTCTATTTCCCATAGAGCACTGCGTTTCCAGCCGGCCACTGGGCACTCCGTGCAAACCAGGAAGTGTTTCCGTCTATTTGCCGATTTGCGCATGCGCGCAATGTTCCGATCACGTGATCGGAACAAAGTATAATTTAATCTCTTCAAAAGCCTCGTTTTAAATAAATTTTTACACAGTTAACCTAATTAGACAGCAACAAATGCACCTATATGGTTTTTACACTATTTTGAGTTGTTTTAGCAGATCGAGATTAATAGTCATGAAACTCTTTCTAAATCGTGTTTAAAGCTTTATTTTTAATACAATTTAATTTTTTAATCCTTCTAATACTTATATGAATATACCCACAAAGTCATAATGTCATTTTGAAATGTACAGAAAGTTTTGTTTTAATACTTGTTTGTGATTGGTGCACAAAAGATTTTGGCGCCAAATTCAACCTCTGTAAACCTTATATATTCAGTTCCTTGCCAGGTGTACTGTTCTTTTACCATTTTGAGAAAACCCCAAAGGTGAAACGCGTAAATGGTTTTAATAAGTGTATTTTAATCAATAAAAGTTATTTTTGGTTACCTTTTAAAACTAGGACCAATTGCATACTTATTTTTATTGTATTTTATACACTTTCTTTCTACCCCTGGCATTTTATATATATTATTTTTTCATATATATTTTTTGTATTTAACACTATAGTTTTATCCACTTTTTTTATTATTTTACATTATTTTTATTATTCAATTTTTTACTTGGAAGCATATTCCGTCCAAAGAAATCCTTAGGTGGGGATAATTCCACCAGCGCTGTGGCAATAGAGCAGTATCCATCTGCTCCATTCTTGTAAGTATTATTCATTTATAGATATCACTTTGTTGTTCAAACTGAGAGCACTATTTTGCTGTCTCATATATACTCCGTGGACACCTACCACCCGATACTGGAAAGGCGGACCTATCTTCCAAGCATCAAGAAAACAACGTATATGCGAAGTAGATCCTAGCCGACACCACAGGAATCCCAAGCCGGACAGACGGACCATCTAAGTATATCCGTTAGTGGGGATCAAACCACTAAGTGCCTCTTCTCCCAGAGCTGGCAATAAGCTCCACCAAATGTGAGTGATACATATTTCCTTTGATTATATACCACATCAGGACCAACAATATTTCACCATAGGCAGCTTTCTTTCTTGTTTTTTATCTTCACATATATGGACTACCTACCACACGGACGGAGCCATACTTGAGGATTGATATCGTGGTACTACATATCAGTGAGACTGTTTTTATTCTATATTTTTAAGAAAATCCGGATGAACTTTATTTGATTTTATTACCGCTGTTTATTTTACATATACGCGATCTTATATATTTCAACATATCTGTTTTACCCAAGCGCAGCCCTTGACCCCCTCCTTTTTTGCATTTCCTACATAAGGGTTCCGTGAGGGATCTCCCTTTTTGGGTTGCTGCTCAATTGAACTAGCGCAGACTCTTCCTCTGTTTTGTTTCCTCAAAAAGCTGCAACCTTACTTGTATGGACAACCGTTTACCTTACTCACAGATCACAACAAATTTGGGGCACTGCGCGTGCAATCTAATGTGCCACCAGATAGGAGTGGTGTGTTAAGTAGTACTATTCTTATAAGTTTAATCCCTGTTACGTCCCCTATCCGTTGATGTGGAGCAAGACGCAGCAGCAGAAGAGGACTCAGCCGAGGAGGTTATGGAAGAGGATGGAGTAGAAGGAGTAGAGGAGGTGGCAGCAGGCCTGCCTGCAAGTCATGGCGGTGTCACCAACTCCTCTGCAGAGCCACGCATTCCATGCTTGGCAGCCGTCAGCAGGTTTGCCCAATGCGCAGTGTAGGTGATATACCTGCCCTGACCATGCTTTGCAGACCAGGTATCAGTGGTCAGATGGACCCTTGCCCCAACACTGTGTGCCAGACATGCCATTATTTCCTTTTGCACAATCGAGTACAGGTTGGGGATTGCCTTTTGTGAAAATAAATTTCGTCCGGGTACCAGTGAGTGAGTGGTGGCACTGGGCACAGTATCCACTGTGAGCCTGACACACCCGCTGGCAGACAACTAACTGCTATTCAATCTATAACAGTGAAAAAGTTTTTTGGTTTTAAATGCACGCTATTGTGACACCAGTGAGTGAGTGGTGGCACTGGGCAAGTGGGCACAGTATACGCTGCGAGCCTGACACACAGACGCTTGCAGACAACTAACTGCTATTCAATCTATAACAGTGAAAAAGTTTTTTGTTTTTAAATGCAAGCTATTGTGACACCAGTGAGTGAGTGGTGGCACTGGGCACAGTATCCACTGTGAGCCTGACACACCCGCTTTGAGACAACTAACTGCTATTCAATCTATAACAGTGAAAAAAGATTTTTGTTTTTAAATGCACGCTATTGTGACACCAGATATGAGTGGCACTGTGAACTGGCAGAGTACACGCTGTAGGGCTGACACACCAGCTTTGAGACAACTAACTGCTATTCAATCTATGACAGTGAAAAAAGTTTGGTTTTAAATGCACGCTATTGTGACACCAGATATGAGTGGCAAAGTACACTGGCAGAGGTCTGCAGAGCACACGCTGAAGGCCTGACACCCGCTTTAAGGACACTGACTGCTATTAGCTTACACTGAAAAACTTTTTTTCTTTGTAAAAGCACGCTACAGAGACACCAGATATGAGTGGCAAAGTACACGGGCAAAGGTCTGCAGAGCACACGCTGAAGGAGGCCTGACACCCGCTTTAAGGACACTGACTGCTATTAGCTTACACTGAAAAACTTTTTTTCTTTGTAAAAGCACGCTATAGAGACACCAGATATGAGTGGCAAAGTAGACGGGCAGAGGTCTGCAGAGCACACGCTGAAGGAGGCCTGACACCCAGACGCTTGCAGACAACTAACTGCTATTCAATCTATTACAGTGAAAAAAAAATTTTTTCTTTTTAAATGTTAAGCTTAAGCTATTGTGACACCAGATATGATACCAGATACTGGGCAAATGGGCACAGTATCCACTGTGAGCCTGACACACCTGCTTTAAGGACACTGACTGCTATTCAATCTATAACAGTGAAAAAAGTTTTTTGTTTTTAAATGCAAGCTATTGTGACACCAGATATGAGTGGTGGCACTGACTGGGCAAATGGGCACAGTATCCACTGTGAGCCTGACACAGAAGCTGGCAGGCAACTAACTGCTATTCAATCTATTACAGTGAAAAAATTTTTTTTCTTTTTAAATGTCAAGCATAAGTTACTGTGACACCAGAAATGAGTGGTGGCACTGACTGGGCAAATGGGCACAGTATCCACTGTGAGCCTGACACAGAAGCTGGCAGGCAGGCAACTGCAATTACATTACACAAAAAAAAAAAAAAAGCAGGCTGATGTTCTAGCCCTAAAAAGGGCTTTTTGGGGTGCTGTCCTTACAGCAGAGATCAGATGAGTCCTTCAGGACTGTAGTGGACTCTGTATACCCTATCCATTGCTGGTTCTTGAAGTCCAGATTTTCTTATTTCAGGAAAGTTGTCCGGCTCCAAGCATGACAAATCAACAAAGAGGGTTCCACGGGAGAGAAAGCGGCGATTCATACTCTCTGTGACCATTTCCAATATGACATTGTGAACATTTATCTTGTATGCTGAAATAGCATCACAAACAACTACATCTTCAATAGACTCGTCTGCCATCCGTTTTCGTTTTCTTGTTCTTTTTTTAGGTAGAGTGGTCTGTACTTCAAGGTGGATCATTTCTTGTTCTCGAAACTTATTTGCCCACTTAACAAAATTATCAGCAGAAATCTGTATACAATCAAAGCCTCTCACAACTGTTTTAAGTTGTTAATATGTTCCCTGTACCATGTGAACAGCTTTAGATATGTCCATTTGGCTTGTCTGCAGATATTTAGACAAAGGTGTGGTCAATTCAAATATTCGCAAAAAACTTTGAGCTGTTAGAATGCTTTCATATTTGAGCAGGGATTCTGCATAAGCTTTCGCTCTAACACGCACCTCAGGTTTTGATGAGACACTTTCTTCAATTTTGCTCAAAGTGTAAATTAAACTGAGAAACAAAGCAGAATCAGGATTTGAAAATTCCCCCAAAACTTTTCTTAATGCAGCATCTTTTGACCACCAGCGAGTTTCTCCAATTACTGAAATTCTCCGATGGTGAGGGTCTTGACTAACTTCCTCCCAGGTATTCATACGCTGGTAAGAATCACGAATAAACACTGCAATGTCATTCAACAAACTAAATAGTGATGCACTTGCAACCACTACTTTCGTAGTATCTGCAAGTACCAAATTCAGTATGTGTGCATTGAACCAGATGTGAACTTGCTCTGGTGATTCAGTTGACAGCCATGAAGAGAAACCATTATATTGACCTTGCATATTTGCTGCTCCATCCGTCGAACTGCCAATGCATTTAGTGATTTCAAGTTTGCATGATTTTAAGACTTCCATTACCAATTTAAATAGATTTTTTCCCGTCGAAGATTCACATTCTACAATTGCAAGTAGCTTCTCCTTGATGCACTCCTTCACATAACGAACAATTATCGAGCATTGATCTTTGGAGGTGATATCTTGAGTCGTAGCAACTTGAATCGAAAACATGCCAGCTTCCCTTACTTCATTGGATATATTTTCCTGGATGATCAGTCAGATACTTTCTAATACTTTGTTAACAGTTGTTTTAGATTGCAGGGTTACCAAAGATCCTCTTCCTTTACCTCCGGAGAGCTGCAATATTTTACTATTTTCAATACATTTGTTCACGTGATCTTTTAGACAAATGTCATATTTACTAAGAAGAAGAATGAGCTCTAAAAAATTTCCATGGTCTTTCGTTATGTCCTCTAAGTTGAATGCAGCCTCATTTTTATCTCCCCTATAACTCGGCCCTTGCTTTCCTATCACTTTTACAACGACTGCTACCCTATGCAGTACTTGCCGCCTGTTTCTGACTTGCTCGCGCCTTACAGACATTTGTTTAAACAAAAGTAGATCGTCGACACCAACACTACTGGATTTCAGAAAAAAAGCTTCAGCACACACATTATGCATTGCACTCTTCTCATGCTCTTCAACAATTCTTTGATGAACATGGCGCTTATCGGTCATTCCTTCTATGAAAGAATTTGTTTCATGTGACTTTAAAAAAGCCAGACAAACAGAGCAAAACATCGCTTTCTTTATTTTACAGTACGAGAGCCATTTACGGATTGTTCCATCTTTTCGCTTTACAGATTTTTTTAACACTGGATCGGGAATTTCCTGCTGTGGATGGTATTTAAAAAAGACAGCAAGTTGATTTCTATTTGGACGAGTAAAATAATTGAATGATGGATCTAACACTTCAATTTGGCACTCTGAAATATCTGCAATCACTTGTTCCGTTGGGGATTCAGGGTGCCCCAGTTCTCCTTGTTCTTCAGTGGATAATCCTGCTGTTTCCTCAACATATTCATCTTCTACTATTTGTTCAGTGTTTGCTGCCTCGGTACTAGTTCCTGCTATGGAATCAATGGTACTCTGTGCATGAGGACTGAACATATCCATAATCTTAGCGCATTTCTGAGCATCGAGTTCCAAACACTTTTTAAATTTCTCTCAGATTTTTTCTGCACCTCCCTTTCGTTTTTTTGAAGACATTGTTTTGTTTTTTTTATTCTCCAAACATTGTTTTACGGCTGATTTGTTTGAATTTACCTATCTTATGATTTGTTTAAAGGGATACTATAGTGCTAGGAATACAAAGTGGTTAAAAAACTATCCCGATTCCAGCACCTATCTCCCTCGGTGCTCCACCTCCTACGAGGCGGAAGATCTAATGTGCATGCGAGCACATTAGGCCGTCCCAACAGGATAGCATTAATTCAATGCTTTCCTATGGGGATTTCACTGAAGCTGGATTTCCTAATGCAGAGTATGAGGACATCCAGTGTCAGTTAGGTGACCAAAGGAAGCGCCTCCAGTGGCTGTCTGCCGACTTAGTGCTGCAATGTAAACGTTGCAGGAACTCTGCACCCTGACAACTTCAATAAACTGAAGTGGTCTGGATGCCTATTTACTCATAGTATATTTGTTTAGATGGGGCCTGTAGCTCCTGCTGGAAAGTCCACTTGGTAGTTATGAAACTATAAACTTTTATTATCCAGATACATAATTTGCAACTATAGGGTTTACTCTTATATTCTGTCTAGTTATAAATTCATAGCTCTATTTTAGATACTGCACCACTAAACACCAGGAAACCTAAATAGGTGTTTTAAAGTAAAGTGAGAATTTATGTCTTTAAAACAACTTTAAAACAACCTTAAAAAATTACACAAAACTTTTGGTCTAGATTTTTTAAATTCACTTTAAATTTCCAACAATTCCCACCTTACTTACTCGGATTCTGTTTTCACAGTATGATAGCCACTAAAAGGCATGTGTAACACCGTAATGTAAACATTGCTGTATGTACAAAAAGAGAAGGTTTGGGGTTTTTTTTCCCATCATTTTTTTTACACAGTGATCAGCAATACATCAGATACACATTGACATGCGCATGGTTTTACCTTGCAGAACTAAGACAACAGGGTCAATGCATCCAGGTCATCTCAATGAGGTCTGAGTGCCATGCCCTTGTATTTTTCAACCTGCATCTGAAAACATTGCATTTTTGCAGGAATGGCAATATTTTCATTACAGGGTTAACACGCTCCTTGTGGCTGTCTTTCTCACAGCTACAGCTACAGCTGCAGCTATAAACTATTTAAACTTCGTTATAGCTCAAATGACTCTCCTAGAGGGTATTTGATTGCCGCAGTGCTGTATTTTTCCACCAAAGCGTACTACCCTCCCAACACATCTCTATGGAAGCATTGGATTGGCTGAGATAATTAAGAATGATGATTTCAGCCAGGAAAACCAACGCCATGGGATGTAAAGCAAGTAATACTTAACGTTTTAACCCTGGCAGGGGGAAGACACCTACATAGGTAAGGGAGACACTATAGCATTAAGAATCAACAAATCAATAAAAAAATATATAAATATACACTTGAAGGCTATTTAAAATCACCTATCTCAGCAAACAAATACGGGGATTCGGTTGTCATGTCATACAAAATTGAAGATTATATTAGCTTTAGTGTACTAATAATCTTAATTTTAGTAATGACAGGAGGCGAATATTTGCATATCTTTCTTTACTGAAAACTCCAGCAGCATAGAAACATAACAACCAATCAGAAAAAAGTTATGATGCCCATAAAAGGCCCTGTCTATGACATCACTTCCTCTTTCTTTGAAGCGAAACAATAAATAACAACAAGAGGCATAATCGTATTACGTCAACAGTTCAACAACATATTAGAATATCCAACTCCATTAGTTCCGCGATGCAGAGGTATGGAAGGTGAATCTTTGTCACGATGAGAAGACGTTCACGCTGCAAGAAAAAGAAAAAGGTGAAAGGTATCTGGCGTGATAACTTGTCCGCATACAATAAGCATAAGCATCTGATATGCCAACGAACATTAGAATGTGAAACATATCAATATATATTTATTCTAACGCAATGATATTTAAGAATCTATAAACACAACATAATGCAAGGTTCATGTCTAATATTCAGCCAATACAAGACCCACAAGATACAGGTCTAAGTAGCAAACATACAAACCATACGTACTTACCTTCCTGAACATAACGGACATATTCTGTTCAACACGAGAAACATGGGAGGGATCCTATAGGGTGGGAAATATTCGCCTCCTGTCATTACTAAAATTAAGATTATTAGTACACTAAAGCTAATATAATCTTCAATTTTACCACATGACAGGAGGCCAGTGTTGCGGTAGACACCGGTCCATGAGGGTTCACGTAAGAAGTCAGAAGGTGATCCGTCGAATGAGTTCGAAGGGGGTAGAGATATTGGTGTACCCCATTAGCGTTCTGACCACACATAGTGTGGCGTCTGACACAAAGCATGGGTATGACCCTGAAGACGAATCAGACTTAGTTCGTCTCGACATGGTAAAGGTAACCCCGTCTGGTGTGAGAGAGAAACCATCCATATCGCAAGCCCTAACGTCCGCCACCGTCTAAATGAGGCGAGGCATAATAAGAGGGCTAGTTTGGCTGAAAGTTGCTTCAGTGACAAACAAGGATTGTCAGGCCATTCCCTAAGGAATCTCAGCACCACATCCACCTGCCAGAGGCGTGAATATTTGGGTGCAGGGATCTCGACAATTCGGCACCCCGCAGTAGTCGACAAACCAGTGTATCTTGACCTACTGGTCTGCCCTGTACCGGAACGTGCGCCGCCGATATGGCGGATCTGATCACGTTGAGGGATCGATATGACCGACCCAACGAGACCAGGTGTGACAGATAGTTGAGGATCAGTGGGACAGGTGCGGTAAAGGGATCGGAATCCCTTTCCACACACCAATCACTCCAGGCCGACCAGGCAGAAATATAGCCTTTCCTGGTGCCGGGAGCCTATGAGTCCCATAGGAGGTCTTAGTTGATGCAATAGGTCGTGAACTGACCAGGAGCCCCTGAAACCGTCCAGGCAACTAGTGCCAGTTGTCCTTCCATGACAAGGGAGTGGGCTTCCCCTCGAGGTCCCGTCAGAAGTAGAGGGAAGGTAGGGAGTAGTAGAGGGTCTTCGCAAGACATCTCCAGGCGATCCGGGAAATCACGGTTGGCCCTGCCCGAGGGGTGTCATGAGCAGGAGCAATATCTTGTGGGTGTATGTGTGTATCGAAGCACCCTTGCTATTGTGGAGAACGGCTGGGTCGCGTTTGCAGGGGTTCATCCATCGCCCCGTATCCGAAGGAAGAGTCAAAGACCGTTTTGCCAATCCAAGTTTGTATGTGAAGTAATCACCATCGAAATTCCATCCTTACTTCCGCTGACAGTGGGATCCAGTGGTCGTATGAGTGACCGGTGCGTACGTATCTCACCATCAGTCGTAGTGGGCAAGGGAATAACGCTTGTATGGAGGAGGAGAGGAGGAGAGGAATCCCACAATCCGACAGCTATCCTTATAGAGGCGCTCTTTGCCATAGACGGACGTGGAACGTAGTTCTCCAAGCCGATGTCGAAACCGAGGAACTGGCCCGATTCAGATGGAGAAGCGATCTTTGTCTGTGTACAACAAAAAACCCATGGAGTCCCGAAAGTGAACGACAAATTTGTCTGCAAACGTAGCCTGGATTCGTAAAGAATCAGCAAGTCTTCCAGGTATACGAGGCATCGCACGCCCAAATTTACGGATGTGTGCCCTCACTGGTTACAGTAGGTTCGCGAGCACCACGGAGTCGTAAACTGCCGTGTTTGTCCTCACCATTGGAATCGGAGGAAAACTTCGGCAGTCCAGGGCAACGGGTACTGACAAGCGTGCGTCCTTGAGGTCCAGATGTGTAAACCAGTCGTTATCGCCTAGGAGGTCTTGTAGAAGACGAATTTCCTCCATCTTGCAGCATTTGTATACCATGTAGGAGTTCCATTGATGTAGTCTCCTGGCTTCTTCTTGACCAGGAAAAATTTTCTGGGGAAGCCTTCCCCTCCGGTGCATGTTGAATTGCGCCCCTCCTGAAGAGGGTGCAGATTTTCTTATCCACGAGGCGTTCCTGTTCCACCAGCGTGCGTAATGGAGGTGAAGGGGCGACCTGCACGGCTGTGATAAAACTCTATGACATAGCCTTGTACTGTCTGGAGAACCCAGGTGACTTTGGTAGTCGTCTCCCAATTCTGTAAAACAGAGACAGGTTGCCGGTCATAATATTGGAAACAGTTAGTTATGTAGGTTGACACACTAGTAGATGAAGCGGATGGGTTCCTTTGTGTAGTAGATGGGAGAAATATGAGGACTGTGTATACGATCTGGAACCTGTCGCCCAGAAGCGGCTGGTGGCTCGGTTCAGCTACCGACCAGTCCTCCCAGAAACACCTTTCCCCGTAGGGTTGTGGAAGACTTGTTTTAGCGAGGTCTGGGTTTAATTTAGTGTGGTGAATAAATTCACGTGTTTCTTGAGTACTGCAATGAACACTACGTCGAATAGTAGGCCTTGTGCTTTTGGGCCGAATTCTTGTCGTTCCTAAGTCCAATAGTGTGTTGTCGATGCGGCCAGTACAGATTTGCGTCTGTCGGCGCATAGTGCGTCATTTACGTTGCCCAGGAGGCATATCGAGCATTGAGACCATTCTTTGGAGGTGGTAGGGTTGAGTTGTGTACCCTGGGGTAACTCGGTCTTGAGGCGTGCGCATCCTTCCATCCCCGAGGATTGCGCAGCCAATAGTGTTCGTCCAGGAACGTTCTGTCTTCGGCTACTCTGGTTTAGTGCCGCTACAGTTATCTCTGCTTCAGCCGCTGTCACAGAGTAAGGTTTCCCTAACGTACTTCGAGGAAGTGTGGGGAAGGTCTTGCCGTTACATTTCCTCAGACGGTGAGCTGTCTTCGTGTCACTCATCTACCATGTCCAAAGTGCGTGGTGGGTAATAGTCTTCTTTGTCGGAAGATTGTGGCGGACGGGGTTTGGATTCCCGGTGCTCCGCCT